ATGTTGTACGTGCAGATTGCAGAATATCCCCTGTTCAATTCCTGGCATCCCTCATAGGATAGGATAAGATTCCCCATCTGAAATCTTGGACAACTACTACTAATCACTGTATCAATGTAAATAATAGCTGGAACAATGGACTGATTCAATATATAAGTGCTACAACATGTAGAATCTTGCCATAACCACAAAAACACCTTACGCATTATCATGCTGCTGCTTCCAATCCACCATTGGTTCACTGAGGGTAAAATCTCTAGATTTTGGCCTCTGCAGTGGGAAGGAAATAGCAGCAGTTTGCTTCTCTCTCCCTCTCTCCCTCTCCCTCCCTCCCTCCCTCCCTCCCTCTCTCTGTGTGTGTGTGTGTGTGTGTGTGTAAGGAGGGAGGGGGAGGGAGGGAATGTATTTATTGCATTCATATTCCATCACAATCCTTAAAAGATTCTCAGTGACCCACAAAAAGTAGTAAAGCAATAAATAATAAAAATACAGCTATACAACTTGACACAGAATTTGCTGTCAATCCCCAAGCACCTTCTGGATTCTTTATTTTCAGCTGCTCCTGGAAGGTAGCTAAAATTGAGGCCACTCAACCTTTCCACGGGAAGCCATTCCAGAGAGCTGTGGCCTGATTACATAAAAACATCTTCAGGCTTTGAATTCCCTGATCTCCCAAACAGGGAACATCCAGCTGCTTTTTCCAGCATGATCAAAATGGTCCCGTTCCATTGGAACAATATGGTTCTGTCACAAACTCAACACCAAGTCCTAGAAGGCTTTGCTGGTTAAAACTAGTACTTTAAATTACAGTAGGAGAATGGAATGAAAAGATTTTTATTTTATAACATGATCTCTCTTCTGCTTCCAAGGGAATAGCATTGCATGCTGCGATTTTTAATCAGCATTTTTTTTTTTTAAAGAGAAACTTCTGTTTTGGCGGTCTAGGCAAAAGCAGAAGAGGGGGAAGGGGTAGATGTGAGGACTGAAACTGAAAACTGCCAGGGCGGTAGAAAAGTAAAACACTGCCATGGACACACCAGCTCTGCAATGATACCTACATTAACTTTCCAGTATTATAAAAACATTATGAGCTTTGATGTTAAGCCCTGCTTTATTTTATCAAGAATCCTAAGCAGAAAGATACTTTCTACCCTCATCAGTAACTGAAAGCAATAGTCTATTTTTGTTCCTGTTGCACATAAAATGGTACTCAAGGGTACAGTACCTCAGGTGTGTATATTCCAAAATTAATCAGCAAGATTAATTATGGCTGAAAGATCCAGCTTCCATTTGTCTTGAAAGCAATGTCTGCCCATGTAATGTAGTGCGTGCATGACTTTATCAATATCAGCACTACTTCCGTTGTCTTTTCCCAAATGAAAGGACCCTAATCAGTGGTGGGATTCAAATAATTTAACAACTGGTTCTCTGCCCTAACGGTTTCTTTCAACAACCAGTTCACCCAGCTGCTCAGAAAGTTAACAACCGGTTCTCCCAAAGTGGTGCTAACTGGTTGAATCCCACCACTGATCCTAGTGACGGGATCCCATTTCCTTGTAATATCAGTGGCCTTTTTGATTTTTTTTCTGAACTTATAAAGCTAAAATTGTGCAAGTTGAATTGTTCATGTTTTCCAAATGATTGCGGAAGTGTTATGAACTTTTTTGTTATTGACTGAAGCAGCCCTTGTTTTTCCAGGCTTTTGTAATTCACAGGATTGTGGGTGGATGGGTGAATTGTCTTTGTTTTAAAACCGCTCTCTAAAAACCTGCAACAGTTCATACAAAAGCTGTCTGCAATACAGCAATGATGCCACATCCTTCCCTTTTATATTTTCCATTTTCTATGGAAATGCATTTTATATCTCAAACTAGGTGAAATATCAAATGGTATGTACTAAATTATGGGTTGGGAACTATGGCCCCTTTATGACCTTCTGGACTTAAATTCCCAGAATTATTCCTGAGCCATAGTTCTCTATCCCTGTACTAAATGAATCATCTCAACAACTCACCAAATGCCTATATGAATCTGTTAAAAAAACACTCACAGCATATTATACTAGTTGTCTGAACTAGTATAAGGTGCCAGAAAAGACTCATGAAATTGAACCATATCATAATCTATTTTAGTAAAGTTTTTAACAAGATAGTGAGGATAGATTCTCCATTTTGCATAACATTTAATGCATTGATTCCTTTAATGCTACCTATCATGCTGTACACCTCCAGTTTTCTGCTGACTGATCCTTCCTTGACAAAGGGTTTTTATGTACTAACAATCTTTGTTAGTACTGTACATTATAGTGAGTCATAAATAGACAAGCAGGTTGCTGCTTTAAGCCACAAGAAAAGTAGCAAATCTTAAGGAATGGTATAAAAGCAGTAGCTATGTTCCTAACTAACCTGCTTAAGTATGCTGCACATACCAGGCACAGAACTGCCATTGGCCTTTTTCATAATGACAATAATGAAAAATTTGAAGTAGCTATGAGAGGTTTTTGCTTTTCATGAGAGAAGTATTGGAATTTTCATACAGAGGGAACAACTATTCTGGTTTGATATATGTTACTACAAATGTCACTTGCTTTGGAAGTGGATGTTTTCTACAGCATAAAATAAAGAAGAACAATATCTGTTTTTTCATGATTCTAAATCATGGTTATTTCTCCCAGGGAGGTTCACAACATATTAAAATAATTTATAATAGCATATCACAAATAGTAATAGGTGCACTTATAATACTTCAAATGATTACAGAAGTAGTGGATAAAATATACAAGTGTAAAATAATATAAAAAATGTAAATTAGTAGAAAAATACATTATTTAAAAAGTAGCATCAAATTGCAATTCCAAAGTTAAGAGCCATATTTTCTAAACAGTGCTAGAGAAAAGTGGGTTTCAAAGTCTCTTTGATTTGATTTGCTATATGAGGAGAGTATGAGGTAGTTATATTAAATAGATGTTAATCTCAGCATATAGATTGTGTGTTTACAGGCTTTCCCATCCTTGAGGATCCTAGTTGTGTAAAGTTCCAAAGTATTGGAACAAGCCTGAGAATAGAGCCAGGTCTTAAGAGTCTTCCAGTACCCCAGAAAAAATGGATACCATCTGTATCTTTGAATGGATGCTATTCCAGAGGGTAAGGGGAGTGACAGAGTAAACTGTCTTCTTCAGTCCCTTAAGATGTCAGAGTTTAAATAAAAGGAATCTGGAGTCCACCTGTGGACAAGGTTTATTGAAAACAGCTCATGTCCTGTTATATTGTACTGTCTATAAGGATCCACAGACACATTTTATAACCTCTTACTGTTAAAAGTATCTGGTAAATTCTGATCTCTTTTATGTGAAGCTGTTACTGTTGGATCAGCACAATACAGTTTCTTTGAACATCTCTAAATTCTGTTATACTGTTTGTAAAATTAGGCAGACTTTGGTCGCCCATCAAAGATCACACCACTAACTGTAATATACTATGTCTTGTTCTGTTCTGTTTTATTTATTTGAATGTTTAATTTTTATTCTGACCTGTGTGACCATAAAGAAAGTTTGATTGACTTGGAGTACATCCAGTAGATATAAATATATTGGGTGAACCGAAATGACTGGGCATAATCACTCAGATAGTCAGGCCCTATGCCTGAAATTTTGAAATACAACAAATTTCCGTTCTTGGGATTTCTAGCAGTTGACCTTTATGACTAGAAAAAATATATGAATTGGAAATCATGAATCTGAAGGATACCCAAATTAGGAAGGGGAAGAAATGGAGCATATTAATAATATAGGAGATATGACTATCCCTAATGATAGCACAGCTTAACTTTTACTCACTCACACTCTCTCTCTCTCTCTCTCTCTCGCAATTGGCATGGGTCTCTTCATTTAATTTTATAACCCAAGCCATGCTGGAGAGTAGGTTAGGCATGAAACAATGACTGAAACCACCCCTTCCCCAAAGACCTAGTGAACTCCTATGGCTGAAATTTGATAGAAAGCTGGAAAGTTCCAGTCTAACACTTTAGTAGCCAAACCATATTGGGTAAAGAACTGATATACAGAGAAAGAAGAATGGAATCTAAGCTGAGAAATAAGTAAGTGCAGAAAAGGCATCAGAAATAAAGAAGCCTTTGACAAGAATATTATGGAGGAGGCAGTAGATAGGAAAAAAAATACAAAGAAAGAAGTGACTTGACGGGTTAGAAAAGAAATCTTGGAGGAGGTAACTTAACATTCTTTGTTCACACTCTTTATTTGAAGTAAAGCATATGAATGAAAGATGTTAAGTGTCATAGGGCAGCCACTGGAAAAAAATGAAAGAAGAAAAGCAGAGGAAGAAATTGGCTTTTGCTGAAGAAATGGAGAACTCAAAAGGGAAACATGCATACAGAAACAAGGAAGATGACAGGTGAAAGGACAGTGAGAATCTAGTTCTGAAAGGAAGATTCAGAAGACCCTTACAAGGGGTCTTGTAAATATGCAGAATTATATTGATATGCTTATATAGGGCTTCAAAGTAGCCTGCTTTAAAAGTATATTTTATTGAAAACCTCCCCTATCAAAATATCATTGAAAGCTATTGATATTTATTTTTACGCTGCTCTTGTTAATTTAGTGGGGCTAGCACAGTTTTGTATGAAGTCTTTGGAGGGTCCTTGACAATAATAACTTGCTTTCATCAATTAATTTATTTGTGTATATTCTTTTCTGAAACATTATGCCCAGAGTCATTTCCAACACAGAAAGCTAACAGTAATAACAAAGGATGTTAGTCCCTGTGTTAATTTTTCTCTTTATGTCATAAAATACTTTGTTTTATTATTGTATTGAAGTGCACTATGTTGTGTTACATGTCTCCTCCTCTTCCCCATTTTCACTGACCTCCTCTCCTTGTCTGCATCCTGGTGTTTTCTTTTTATTTCTTCAGAGTATTTCACTACCCTCTCCTGAAGTGATGTTTCACTTTTCTTGCAATTCCTATTCCCTCCTTTCTCCATAGCACCTTCCACAGTTCTTATTATGCACCAGGTAAGTGCCACCATGAGGAGCATCACGCTGTCATGGCCTCAGCCAGAACAGCCCAATGGCATCATCCTGGACTATGAAATCCGTTATTACGAGAAGCTGAGCCGGATCTGCATCCCTGAGATTAGCAGCGCCATGGGCTCAAGACCAGCTACCGTAAGCCTGAATGCATTTCAGAGAAGGGAATTTGCTGGGCTGGTAATGGGAGAAGATGGAATTAAAACTGCCAGCTATTTTTAACATATCATGGAATGCATGGTTTTGATTTAATTCAAAAATTAGATTGTAGATTTTCTGTGTTCACTCCAGCCTAAGGTTCTGGATAACACTGTGAAAATCTTATTTTATTTTAAATAGATTCTCCTTCTTATGTCCTCTTTTCCACCTAGCAATAAGGAACTTGTGAGATAAACTTGACTTGGATTATTAGCCCAACCACCTATATATTTTTATATAGGTGGTTGGGCTCTTTCTTTGTTGAGTCTTCCACGATAGCTTTCTAGTTTAATGAATTTTACCTGTTATTTGCCTTGTGATAAACTCCAGCAGATTGGGAATTCCTATTGCAAGCTACACTAAATCAATCTGCATAAAAAAAACTTTGCAACAGTAACTAGTTGAAGCTGGGGCCTGCCATTGGTTCCTATTTGCCTGCATTATATATTTATTTCAGTCCCTATTTCTTGAATAAGGATTGTTTTAACAACTGAAAGCTTGCTAGGAATGCCAGTCTGGATCTGGACTTATTTTGATGATGCTTGGATAGTATTTTGTGCACTATGTAACAGTCCTTAATGTCTATACTTATCTTTCAAAAGCTATCTTGTAAGCTCCTGCTATCCTACAGATGACTCCTGTTTTATTACCTTGTAAGAGCTAGATAGATATAATCCGACACAGTTGGCTGTAGATTGAACTAGTTTTGCCCACGAGGCCCTGGGGTACAGTAAATGATATCCAATGCCAGATTGTCAGGAAGCAAGCATCAGCTGCCATGCTGCTGTACAGGCCTGCCAACCATGCCTGATGTTTAGGATTAAACAATCATCCCGAGAGACGAAGTAATGTCACAGGCACAATATTGTACTTGGTTGCTTTTGTCATACTTGCAGTAGATCCTCCCACCTCAATATTCAACTGCATGGGTGAAATAAACAATCTAGAAAGGATGTTGGGAGGGGAGAAAGGCAGTTGGAGCACAGGAAAAAATATATGTAATGACCTTAAGATGAAAGAAAATGTGGATAAATTTGTTTTCTCCCAGCTGCATTCAGCCAGAGAGTGAAGCCTCCTACTTCATAGGATCATGTTGCACAGATCATTGTGTGAATGTCAATGATTTAACTGGAATCATTTTTAGGCCTTGCTGCCCACCATCCAGTATAGGACAGACCATATCCAGGAATAAATAGGAAAAGTGATAAAATCAAAGTTTTGAGTCAAAACCAAGATTTTTAATTAAATGTAACAAAAAAAATTGCATGCTAAAAAGCTTGAGAAAGGATGCTAGTTTTGTTATACCTTATCTTTGTGCTTGAACTATGATGGCTGTTTTATATCATTTTCATAGTCAGGTCATGCCAAGTGTAGAAGATAAGTATTGAAATATAGATATGGTTTCTCTTATTCTGGCCATTTATAAGAGTGAATAACTAGAATAAACATATTTGCTGAATATTAATATTAGCTACCTGATAATTACAAGCCATTGCATTGTATTCTTTTTGCAGAAAAAACATGTAGATATTACTCATTTGCTTACACAATAGGCACACCTCCACTGCAAGTTGCATAAGTACAACACTTTTCTAGTTGCTTATTATTTGTAGTTATTTTCATTTGTACATTATTACAGAAGAATCAAAATGGATTTGAGTAATATTGATACATAAAATCCTAACTTCTTTGCCCCTTGCTCAGAGATGTGAAATCTTCAGCTTTCCCAATCAGGAAGCCTCCAGATGACTGGTAACAATTCTCATTAAACATGAAAATTTCTAAGGTTTATGGGAGCTACAGTTTTAGAACATCCCCAAAGCCCAATTTCAATTTGTTTTAGATAGCTAAAAAATAGCCCTCTGGTTTCCTCAATTCCATCCTTTTCATTAACCAGTTGAAAAGCAAGAGACAAGTTGGTACATGGGATTGATTTATTTTTTACCAGCATTGTAGTTGATACTGCAAAAATAATCTTGCTTCTTTCCTCATACTCTCCTTCATTTGTTCTTTACTGAAGGACCACAGTGAGTACAACTCCTCTATGGCCAAAAGTCAGACCAACACTGCACGAATCGATGGGCTCCGGCCTGGGATGGTTTATGTAGTGCAGGTGCGGGCTCGGACTGTGGCTGGCTATGGGAAATACAGTGGAAAAATGTGCTTCCAAACTCTGACAGATGGTGAGTGCCTTTGAAAAGTGAGGGAAGTTGGTTGCACTCCCTGTCAAATTCCCACAGTGTAATTGAATTAAACCAACTTGTCTGTTCAAACCCTTCTGTGATGGAGTAGCATGGCAAGATCAAGTGTTTTACAGACAAGTGAGATGCATTGTCATTTGGAGGGCTAATCTGGCTGAAATTCCTCCACCTCTTCCTCCTCTTCCTCGCTAGTCAAGATTTTATTTCTTTCTGGCTGTAAAAGAAAAACAAGTCCCACCACCACTTCTTAGGAAGAGCTAAAACCAAGTCTGTGTTGGAACACCAAAGTGCATAGTAGTAGGTTATTCAAGGATGTGGACATGAACAGAGAAGTGTTTTTTTTTTAAGTTGAATGCAGATTTTAAAGGGTGTGGAATGGATGAACTTAAATTTTCACCAATACGTACATATGATGGTCATTCTCAGATTTTTTTAAAAAAAATGTACACATAACATGCCTTTTTTCATGCCCTGCTACCCAGGAAAGGAGTATATTTTAAAATGTTTTGTGCTTAAGGATTAGTTGCATTTGAAATGTTGCATTTTAAAAGATTATATTGGAAATACCTGAGCTCTTAAAAAGCACTAGGGAAAGTGTCTAAAAAGGCCCCTTATATTAGAGAGGTATGGATACAAATCTTTTTTAAAATATTAAAAGATTCTGGGACTGAATATTTCACAATTATGCTGTGTGTCAAAATTAAAGAACTCAATAGCTACTTTCTGGGTTTATGGCCCATGTATACGCAGTGTCTCAGTAATGTATAACTAAGAAAAATCATTTTTGAAAATACACAGAATGAAAGAGTAAATATTTAGATGGGTAAATAAGCCAGCAATTGATCAGCTTATCCTGCACCTACAGACTTTTGAAATACTTAAGTTTACTATTTTATAGGAAAGTTACATGAACTATTTGCAAAGTGACCAAAATCATTCTTTAATCATACATAATTCATTTCTGGGGACTAGTACAAGATAATTTTAAATACAAAACAAAACTTTGTAATACTCTGTAAAAGTTGAAACTGGCAAGGTAGGAAGCTATAATTCTCAAGGATCTGTATGTAGAATCATTATGTAAATCTGCCTGAGCTGCAGTTGTTGACATAGTTTTAAAGAAAGTCATTGAATATTGTTGACTCAGAAAGGCAGGAAGAAAAGTCTTGGTTTTAAACCCTAGCATATTGCAGATTGCTGTGAACTGCAGTAGACAGATTTTCTCCACAATAAAACAACTTATGTACCATGTAAGTTTCTTATCTACCCACTGAAAGTTCTATTGTTACCTAGCAACAGATTATGGGATAGAATTTCTGGAGAGTAGAAATGTATTAAGATGCCTAGGAGAGACATTCGATGCACACTAAATGTCATTGGAGCCTGCAGGTTCATTGGAGTATAATGTTCCTCATCCACACTTACCTGCCTAGAGGCCACTAGCTTAGGAAATAATATTTTAGAAAATTATTATTCAGAATTATCATCTTGATATTCTTCATCACAGCTTTCTGAATTTGGGGTAGGCAGATGTTTTTAATTGTTTTTCATTACACACACACACACACACACACACACAGGGAGAGAGAGAGATATGCATACCAGCCCTTGCCTAAACAATAGCTTTTTCAAAAGTAATAATAATGATCTACAAGAATCGAATATTTAAAAAGTTCATCTACTATTTTCCCCTAAATCTAAGCGGGGAGAGGGGAATTCTTTGTTGGGATCTGAAAGGATTTTGGATCAGATGTCAAACAAATGTCTATGATGACAACACTCTAGGTATGAAGTTCTACAACTAAAAAAGTTGTTTGCTTGTTCTGGTCAATCCTACTACAACAAGCATTCAATTCTTATTCATTATAAATCTATGTTGATTATGTGCCACCATGTCATTGTTGACTGTTAGTGACAACATAGTTAGGTTTCATCTAGGACAATCTGTCCCTTACCTGGTCTTTTATGTCTTCCAATAGTGCATTCATCATCACTATAACCAAGTCTATCCTTCTTAATGCTGGTCATGCTCTTCTTTTCTTCCTTTCCTTCTATTTTTCCCAGCATTACGTCCATCTCTACTAGAAGGTCTTTGTCTAAAGTAGACTCATTTGAGCCTAATCATTTGAGTGGCTTATATGTACACATCAAATAGATTGAATAAATAAGGGAAGGGTACACAGCCTTATTGCATTCATTTCAAACTCTGGAGCCAATATATTTGTCCATGTTCTGTCTGTACTGTGGATTCCTAACCTGTATTTAAGTTAGAACTCTGGATAATTTTGTTCAGTGATACATTCATTTGTTTTCTTGGCTGTCCAGTGTATTCCAGGACTCTGCCAACATCAGAGTTCAAAAACATCAATATTCATCTTATCCTTATACTTCAAAGCCCTGATCGCTATTAGTATAGACACATAACTGCATTTGAATAGTTTTCCAAGATCTTTATAGCTGCTGTACAAGTGGTAATACATGATGTATTTCTGAACTTCTTGTTCTCTTGCCATTGATGGTTGATTCTGAAGGGCAGAAGCAATCCACCACTTGAATATCTTCATTTTTTCACAGTGTAGCTTGCGTTTTATCATGATACCTCACCGAACCTTTGTATTTTCAGCCATTGGTATAGTTCAAGTTATTGAAGTTTCTTCCTCCAATTTTAGAACTTGGTTACTCATCCAATCTAGTCTCCCTTAATACATATATGTACACATCAAATAGATTGAATAAATAAGGGAAGGGTACACAGCCTTATTGCATTCATTTCAAACTCTGGAGCCAATATATTTGTCCATGTTCTGTCTGTACTGTGGATTCCTAACCTGTATTTAAGTTTTTCAAAAGGAAAATGAGATGTCCTAGGACCCCATTTTTCTAAGCACATTTCATAGCTTAATATGATCAAAGGCTTTTCCTTAATCAATGAAGTGCATATTTAGTTCTTTTGGGTATTCTTTGGCTTTCTCAATTATCCTGTGTACATCAACAATATTGCCTTGTGTTCCTGTGCCTTTCCTATAACTATCTCTTTTTTCATGTAGGACTTTAATCTGCATTGTTGATCCTAAGCATTATTTTGCTACCATGTGACCTGTTAAGTCTCCCTTTTGGGTGGTTTTGGTATGTAGACTGATCTTCCAATTAGACTGATCTTCCAATTTATTAGTTACCGTGTAATTGTCCAGATTTGCTGGCACAGTTTGCTACTTGATTGATTCTTTTTCTATTTCTTCCCATGTTCCCATAGATGTGCTGTAGCCTTTCAATTTGATAATGAGTGCTGATCATCTAATATTAGAGGTTCCTGTAAGCAGGAATTATCTTCTAAGTTATCTTGTATGTACTATACTTTACAAGTAGTCATGTACTTAAAACGGCGTATAGGGCAGTAATTTCTGTTTTGTGAGAAAGGGTCAGGGATGATGCACAAGAGGTGTAACACAGGTAGGCTTCAAGGAATGCACAAGAGGTCAGGGAGTGTGAATATGGATGCCAGAGTGTGCAAGAGGTGCCTGACTGGGGGGTGCAAGAAGGGTATCATATGGATTGGGAAAGGGGAGGGAAGGGTATGTAAGAGGTGCCATATATACTGAGGAAAGTGTGCAAAGGTGTGACATAAGTCAGGGAGTGTGCAGGGAGGTGAATGACTGCATGGTGTGAGTGGAATAGAGCAGAAGGAGGATGCATAGGTGGGAGAGACTTACTCCAGTGACCTATGATCTTCCCTGCCAGATCCCCCATTTTCTATCTGGGGAAGCCAGCAGAGAAGGTTACAAATGGTAATCATGTGATCACATGGTACTTGTCAACTGATTGTAGATGCAAATGGATTGACAGGTATTCAGATCACATGACCACAGGGTGCAGAAAAATTCAGACCTAATTTATTGCCATTGCAACTTAGAATGGCCACTGACCCAAAGGTCATAGGTTGAGGACTACCTGTATTTAGGTATACTTCTTTTTATTATTTATTTGTGTCCTGCCTTTACAAATAACATACCTTCCTTTTCCTATTTTTCCCATAACAGCAACCCCGTGAGGTGAGTTGGGCTGAGACAGATTGGCTGCTCCAAGGTCACCCAGTAGCTTTCATGGCTAAAACAGTCAGAATGCATGGTCTCTCAATTTCTGACTTTTTCTTTTCCTTTGAATTCATTATTATCTGTCCACTGGCATCCATTAGTACAGCAGTTCTCAACCAGTAGCCATATTATCCCCTATGGAACCTTGGGTATTTTAATGAGGACACAGATGAAAAACATGAAACAGGGGACCATGACGTGTGTTGGGGGTCATAGAAAAGTTAAGTGTATTTTACTGCAAATACTACCTTGTTGATGCCAGAACATGTATCAGATTATTATTTAATGTGTGTATCAGGTAATGAGACCTCAATGTACAGTGAGGTGGGGGCCACAGGAGAAAAACAAGGCTGTAAAGGTGCCTTGGGGTTTTTTAAGTCATGAAATGCAGCATTATACCAATTTGAGGTTGGAACCTCTGAGTTCAGATATTTTTTTTAATGAACTTTCCTCTTTTTCCATGCTGTTTCCATGTTCAGTGCCTTTACAGATGTTATTGTAATATTGGTTCTTGTCTTGTGAAACCATTCTCTGAAACTCTTTGTTAAGTTTCCTTAGAACATTTTCGTTTTTCTTGGCTTTGGCTTATCTTCTTGACAATTTCTATATTCTGACATCAAATTTGCTTTCTTCCATTTCTTCATTTTTGGCATTCTCTTTTTATACATTCATCCTTAACAACATTAAATTCATTCCACAGGAAACCTAGGTTATACAGATATTGCTGTATATTGTACATATTTTGTCATGAGCTGGATGCTTTTCAAAAAATATTCTAAAGCTAGATCTGAATGTAATTCATTACTATAGTCATTGTCCTTCAGTATTTATATAACATAATGGAACAATTAATGTGACTACTAATTGCATATTAATTCAAAAGTATGTTGATGGATAAAAACAAGAATATATTGACCCCTATTGGCCTCTTTTAAGGTTTTTTTTAGCAAATGAATAAACCTGTTTTAATCTCTTCATTCATCTACACTAATGTCCCACTTCATAATATCGTAACTCAGATGGTTCCTCTCTAGAGTACTTTTACATCATTTTGCTACATAAGCCTAACTGTAATCCCGAGTCCACTCTACTTAAGCAATGTCTAACTGAAGAAGAAATGGGAAGCATGTGTGCATCAACTGCTAACTGAAGAGTTGAGCCCTTTTAAAAATATCTTTTCATTTTACTTAGACAATTAGACAGGCATAGAGAATATCCAGCCCGAAACATAAGCAGCTAATTGAAATCTAACAAGAATGGATACTGTATTATTAAATAATAATTGATTGTTAGATGAGAATTTGTTCAAAATTTATGCATCAGGCAAGAGATTAAAGCAGATACCAGTAATTAGCTTCAAAGGAGAATAAGAAAATTAAAAAGAGGTGTGAAATTTTCTGTTTGTATGAATTTATTTTAAGCTATTAAGTATTCATGCCAGAATTATTAGAAGATAAGCAGTAATGTTAATCAAATTAATTTATTGTCTACCAGTCCATTGTGGTAAGGTGGGTGCAAATAGACAGCCCTTTATCTGAATACATTCTTGAGGAAGTCAGACAATGTTACAAGGGATATTATTTCCTAGATTTTTATAGTAAGTATCCATCCTGAATTTCAGGGCTACCAGAAACCATAAATTGTTCAATTCAGATATAATGGCAAACTAAAGTTTGCCAAAATGTAGAAATTAATCAGTACTTGTGATGAAAAGCTGAAGGATAGAAATCTAAATTATAATTGATATTACTAGCAGAATGAACACTTATAAACCACAATCTTCTTCACAATCCCACCAAAGCCTTCAATTTAGAACAAAATATATGTAGCTCACGGTGGAGTCCTTCATGCTCTCTGAGTTTCATTGTGTACAGATGTAAGAACCCAACTAGCTAACATCATAAGTAAGCATAGGGTTGCTGCCTGCTAGTGTATGTGTGTGTGTGTGTGTATGTGTATATACTGTATGTATGTGTGTGTGTGTGTGGGTATGTATGCATGTATGTATGTATGTATGTATGTATGTATGTATGTATGTATGTATG